TGCACCGATTTGCCAGAGAAGGTTCACTTCCATGCTCCGGAAGAATAAATGCAAGGGAGCTTGCTTCCTCCACAACCCCAACGGGAGCGAAGCGTAGAAACTCCCACACGAAGCATGTATCGAGGCATCTTCCACCCAGGCTGTCCTTCTCCGAACTCAGGAGGAGAGCAGGGCTCGGTCCACAGCCCGGCCTCGGGCCCTTGCCTAAACCTCGGCCTGCGTCGCCGCAAAGCAAAGGGAACCGCAGGGAGAAGCTCTGAGAATCAGCCAAACAATTCCAACCTCCACCCCGACTGCCTCTCTGAACTGCTTCCATCGAGTGTCATAGCACAAGATTGTTCTTAGAGCTCCAGGCCACAAGCGGGGGCTGAGGCTCTTACACGTCATGTCGCTTCGTGTTCCGGACAGTGGGCTAGGAAATCTCACGCAGCACGTTCTGGACACCCGTGTTGCCCCCAAGCGCTTGTACCATCCCAGATGAACGAGAAACCGGCACTTTGTCAGACATCGGACTCGGGCCACGAACGAAGGGCTGAGTGGCGGAAACGACATTAGATGTGTTCCGAAGAAGTGCACCGAACTGCATGGGAGGGCCAGCAGTGCACAAACGCACAAGAGCACACCCAACCTTCGCATGAAAATCTTTGCTGCAAGCGGCAAGATGCAGTCCGTAAGGACAGGTTGCTTCCAAACGACCAAGTACGATCTGGCAAGCCCCTAAACAACACAAAGCAAGCGTCCCCGAACGCTTGGAGAAGATCTCTTGCACCAGTTTTGGGCCAACTACATGACGTCACGAGAGCAAGCAAAAGCAGGTTAGAGTAAGATGAGCCGCAGGGCAAGCCCGTCCACACGAGAAAGCTTCTGTGAAATGGAACGTTGCACAGGCTCCAGTTGCTTTTTTGAGGCAGACCTGCCTGCTTTGCCGGAGGTTCGGATGGAGCTCTCTGCTCTTTGAAGACGTCCGCGGGACCATCTTCGTCTTCGTCGTCCTCCTCGGAGGGATCCTGGCGACTACTACGCTTCTACGGACAATTGCAGCCGGAATCATGAATTCTCCTTGCTGCTTTCTCGCCGTCGCTGCAGGGACCTTGCATTGCAGCAACAAGTATCGCCCAGTAAGCCTGCGCTTGCGATGTCGCTGGGAGTCCGAGATGCTGCAACATGAGCTGCTGGGATTGGATGGGCGCCTGCCAGCCGCGTCACTCTAGCCTCCTCGAGCTGGGGTTGTACTGTAATTCTTGTAAGTGCTATTATTGCTATTCTGATTATGATTCTTATTGTCATTTCTCCTACTCCTCCTACTACTACTACTACTACTACTATCATTAGTGTGTGTTTGGGGCATCACTTTGATTACTAGTCTTGTTGTTCGCGGTTATGCTTTCACTTGCCTGGCCGAGCCCGCTGTTCTGACCGAACATCGTCTCCAGCATAGAGAAGACCTTCTGGGGCTTGAGTAGGCGAACATCTCAAGTAAGGGTACTGCAACTACAAGGTGTGCTATGAGGGGTGCTGTAAGGGATACTGTCATGGCATTGTAAAGGTTACTATAAGCCATAGCCATGGCAAAGAATGAGAGTTGCTCAGCTCTCACAGCTTCGAACCAAGAGCCCGGCGATGATGACCACGCCGAGAAAGATTGTACATTCTACAAGCCTGGACAGAGACAGCAGACGCAACATCTCGTGAGATTATGTGAAATTTTCACGAACTGAAGTCATCTCCCTCCCAATGTGTGCAGAGCTGATATTCTTGCCTCTTCACCGTCAGACCACGCCCACTTTGTGGCATAGCTCAGATGTCGCATTTCTGTCTCCGATGTGGTTGCAACGTTGGCTTTCGCATCCAGGCTGGCAAAACGAAAATGCACTGGCGCATGCTCTGGCACAGTCTGCCGGTGTGTTGGTGCGTTGAAACGCTATGTTATGTTGCTTCCAGTTGCATGGTTGTTGCAGGTTGGTCAGGTTGGTCAGTGGCTTCAATGTATGCCATGTATGTTGAAACTGAATGCTACGTGGAGCAGATGTTGGGCCAAACTCTTATGACCTGCATACATGAAGGCATCCCAAGCCCAGCAAAAGCTACAGCGTCTTGCAAAAAAGCACAACCCCGCCACAACTATTGCAGTGCAGATGCCTGTGTACCTAGGCTGCATACATCCAAGCCCTGTTTGCCGAGTCCTCGCGAGCGCAACTGCTGATCAAGTCTTCGTTTGGTCCAAGCAGACACCAGCAAGCTCCTGCGGATTGAATCCTGATATGATGCGCAGAGATGCATCGCCTCAACCAGCTCACTCTTCGTGCACGGGGTCCCATGAAAATGTGAAGAAGCACCCCGGCCCACCTACTAGAGTCAGATAGACCCCATCTGCCCAAGATAGCACCTCAGCTGCAGCAGGAGCATATTGGAGGCCAGATAGTAGATCCGTCCCTACATGGTCTTCCAGCCTGGAGTCTCCAACTCGTGCTCGCCAGATCCTTCCTGCAGCACGACAGGGTGTGCTGTGGCCCTGGATCTGTGCCCTACACTGATACACGAAGTTCAAGACCCGCACGCATTGGATGAGTGGATCTTGCATTGAGCGGACGATGGAGTGGCACCTCAAAGCGCGTTACACATTGGCACACTGGACAGGCCCGTCAATGGCATTGCAACTGATAACTGATGACTGAAAGAATCCACTTGCCTGGAAGGACTCCGTTGCGCCAGCTCAGCGTGGCCTAGGCATGGTCAAGCTCCATTCCAAACGAGGTTCTGGACTGAGCTGCAGACGCAAGACTGCGCAATGTTTGCGGGCTCTTGGGGCCTCAGCCAAGACACGGCCGGCCGTAACATTTCCTGTCGTCTGTTGAGCTTGGATCCGTGCCGAGACTCGTCCTGGATGCATCAACTCACAGCACGTCACCATTGAAGTGAATGATGGGACACGCAAATTTCGGTCCTGAAGCTCCCTTATCCGGAATGTGAGGGCTTCCACCGCTCGGTCGTCACTCGTGGACATAGCTCCCAGTCATGCCTTCAGCTCACTGCACATCTGCCTCGAAATGCTCCTGCTCCTGCCTGAGACGGGCCTTTGCCGTCGTCCGAACCGTTTTCGCCAGATCTTTGTGGTCGAGGCACTCCAGACTCTTTGAAACTGCGCCTGGCAAGATTGCCAGCGCGTGCTCGCCGGGTATCCAGGTCTCTGCTTTTCCAAATATTTCCAAATCTCGGAAGCCTTCAGCCTCGTGAAGCAGCTGCTCCTGAAAACTCTCAACATCTTAGTCTCAGAGGACTCGAAGCCACCAGACAGCTGATTGTGTCTGTCGGCCGCAGTTGTTGCAAGTGATTTCGCACTGTGCGTGGACTGGTTGTAGTTGCTCAAGGGAATACGGAACAATTTGTCAATGTGCGGCAGCTTTTCCGTGCCGACGGGATGTTCTGCTTTCCCGCTTACACGTGCTGACTACTGACTGCCCCGCTTTGACCTGAGTCAAAAGTCACAGGCAGGCCTGACAAAGCACCGTGATCACCTAGTTTTGCTCCCAAGAACCCCCACTAAGAAACGCCTGAGACAGAACCCCAGCAGGCAGCCATCAGCTGCATCCTCGTAATGCCGCAAAGGTCTGAAAAGAGCTGTGCCGACAGCCCCCGCTTGAGAGTAGCCTGCTGGAAACCACAACGGATCCCAAAGTCTCCCCTACCCCCCGCAGACCTCCAAGGTCTCTAGCCTTACTGAATGCCGTTGATGCCTGCAGAGGTTGGGTGAAGTTCTTCGAACGCTCTCTTTTCAATAGCTGTTTGGTACGAAGTTGGGGCGGTCTTTGTGCCGTTTCTGCCTTTTGTCAAAAGCCAATACAAGAGATGTCTGCCCGTTCTGCCCGTGCTCTACATGGGTTGCAAGCCCATCGGAGGCAACAGAGATCAACAGAGGCAACACTGAGACATCGAGGGGATCCCAGCTCCTCCTGAAATCGCGACCGAGCGATTCACTGCAGAGCGTTAGCCAGGTCCTGACAAGGATTTGAGCCATCTGACTTGGGTCTTCGTGTCCCTTTGCCGTATCACAGATGACTGATGACTGAGACCAGAACCTTCGGCGTTAGCTGCTCGGCAGCCGGGATAGCACGCACCAAGGAAGCACAATCAGCGGGCCTGCACTTCAGTGAACATACTCATCACTGAATTGAACCTCCAGGAGGTTCTGCATTGCATAAGCTAGCCGGACGTAACTTGAGGCTTCAGTTGCTTGATCTGATTCTCAATATGCTCGTGTAGTTTGGATACAAATGGATCTCCTGCTGCATCTTAAGGCGGCACGCCGCAGCTGCGCCACTGTCTTGGACAGCTGGTGGCCTCCCGCAAACACTCTGCCCATGACCATGGACTGCGACAAAGGCGGCCAGCTTTCAAGAAAAGGCCTGCAGATTTCTGCTCTCTTGCAGGAGCTTCTGCCACTGCCGCTGCCTCTGCTTGCTGTGAACGAAGGTGAACTTCAACACCAAGCAACTCACTACGGTCCTGAGCTGCTTCAGTCGCTGCGCGGCGATTCAACGCTGAATGGGCCCCTGCCCCTCCTTGGGAGGAGAACAGCAAAAATATGCTCGGCTCCTGCCTTTCTGCTCCGCTTCCCCTGATGTCAGAGCCTTGCCCTGACATGCCCCAAACATGCGAACCCAAGCGGCGTTCAGACCGTAGAAAGTGTCATCTGGATTGCCGGATCATCGCATTGGGTGATTGACACAGCAGCATGAAGCCATGTCGCATCCAACTACAACAACTAAAACAACTCTGGACTAGACCATGCTAGCAAATCCCGCATACTCCGAAACTCTCGGCCGATCTGTACCAGGAGTGGTGCGTGAGTGTTTCACTTCGGCTGGTTCGCTGCATAATGTATCATAATGTGCCTCGCCAGATGTGTCGAAGCAGGCGTGCTTGGAAATGGGGCCGTCAAAGAAATTGCAACGGACGAACAAGCAGAAGCGCTCTACAGGATATGTCTAGACGGTGAGGAGTTAGTGGATAAGGCTTTTTCCAGCTCGCTTGTGCGACTGTATCCTTGCAGCCAGCTGCTTGCTGGATACTCCAATCGCAGCCTGTCGCTCCGAGTTGCAGCCCACAAAGGGAGGACCCTTGGCGTGCTTCCGTAAGCCCTGCCCTTGAAAGGTGTCTCATATCAGTGCATAAATTGAATGCTTCAGCCGAGGTGCCGCATGCGTCTCTCGTATCCGAAGGTCAAAGGAAGGCCAAACCTTGGCAAAGTGCCCATTCCCAAGAAGTCGTCTGCATTCCTTAGCTAGGAATGGTCAGAGCTGTCAATCTGAAAGATGGTCGAAAGCAGACTTCATATTCAGGTACTGTTAGGGTTTGGGATGCTCGCAACATAAACTTTACATCATGTGCTGAGAACAAGGCTTGCTCTTACGGCATGCCAGTTTGTGGCCTGGCCTGGTCGAGGTTTGTTCCCTCGGTGTGCTCCTGGCCCCGATCTTGGCTCAGCCGGCAGCATTCCACCACATTGGGCGCTCGGACCTAGTTGCATCCAGCCTACGCTTACGTCACCGTCTCTCAAGGAGGTTCCTTAACCTTAAGCACAACATTTAAAACCATCTTAACTATAGGCGCTGGACAATGACTGCTGGAAGGTGTGTGCGTCGCAAAGCCTTAGGTGGCCAAGCCGGAGAAAGCAAACTGACAGCTGCTGCATTTCCGACACAACGCCCGAATTGATGAGGTTTTGCGGGAATAGCTGGACAGACAACATGCAGCCTAGTCTCTGCATTCTTGAAGATGTAGTAGTCGGGATATGGCCATTGCTGGTATTTTACGGTTGAGGCAGCCTGAGATGACGGCTTGGAATCGTGATGCAGCTCCAGGCAAACAGTGATGCGACCGATGGAAGCCTCGACAGTGGCCCACCAGCTCTTCAACAGCGTGAAGTCCATGAAGAAGAACCTGCACGTAGCAGGTCTGTGCCTCTATACACACGATGGACTAGCAGTGCTCAGTGGTTGCATGCAAGACACCAGTCGCCGGCAACCGGCGAGGGGTCACTCTTGTAAGGGACATAAACTTTTCCACAAGGATAAGAGGAAAGACGAACGTCACGAAATAATGCCACATCCGGTCGCGTCCGGACGATGCGACCTCAGGCGCGAATTTGGGAGACTCCGTGGAAGACGGCTCTACAACTTGCCAAGGATAAACCCACACTTGGCCGCACAGGCGCCATATTGCACTCCACTGGCAAGTACGCGGTCAAAGCAGGTCCTGCACGTGACGGCCTAGCCTAGAGTCGTCGAAGCATTCAACTCGCTCCCTTACATCCATAGTCAAGCCACACAAGATCATGCGGTTGTCCTCAACCAGCGGATCTGGGAATTGGACGCGTGCTCCTTGCAGTCGGAATATTTCAAGACCTGCGGGCAAACGGAAAGCGCAAAGCGCACATGAAGCTTCCTGCGTTCTGTTGAAGCTCGCCCCGCGATAAGCAGGAGCTGTAGCACGCATGACTCAAGCCAGTCTGGACCAAAGCCTGTCTCAAAAGAAACCGGATGCATTCCGGAACCACACCGCGTGCATTAACACACTTTCAACGTCGAATTGGCACACCAAGCAGGCTTGCAACGATCCATCCCGTAGCGAAAACGACGGGCTCGGTAGCCCCATGCTGCTAAGGAGGCACTTCAGAACATTAGTCATTAGTCACTATTCGATGCTATGGCCGATTTCCACCCAAGACCTGCAGGACTTGCCATTGAAAATCTTTCACCGGCTCAACTCCAAGGCACCTTCTGTCTGGACTGAAAGCTCTTTCGATACTCGGTGCAGCTGCCGTCGCTCACGTCAATGATCTCGCGAATCTGAACTCCGTCGGAAGCACCGCGCATACTTCGCAGCTTTCGTATGATCTTGTCCTTGACCCCGGCGACATGTTTTTGCAGGCCAGTGAAAATTCCCCTTCAACTTGGTAGCTGCTAGCTGTTTCATAGACCGTTTCTGGACAACAAACAGGTGGCAGGTGTTCTTTGAAGTTCAATTTTTGTCATGTTCTGATTAGCTCGCAACCGTGGAGGGGTGCAGAACTATGCTTCAGTGATTCCTACGACCGTCGCCTCTGCCTCAGATCCATAGAAGTTCGCGGCATAGGTCAACCAAGAAGAGCCCCTCTTCTGGCCTGAAGGCTAGGCAGTGCAGGGCACACGCTGGCCCGAAACTGCCATCCGGTCTGCCATTGAAGCCGCGGCCGGCTTTCTCCGCTGCTGTTCTTGGACCAACTCCGACGTTGCTAGCTCTGTGACAGAACTATCGGGCATCCAGTTCGGATCCGCCCTAGCAATCACCAACAAAGAACACACTCACTGCAACCCAGCACAAAAATCACAAAGGGTCTCCCTGTATTTTCTCATGAAACCAATCTCAACCAACATGCCCGTAGACTGAGTATACACATCAGGTTCAAGAGGCAAACACACAGCCGAATTTGACAAGACACCCCGTTGCAGCACCATGTAGACATCTAGAGAGTTCTCCAAGGCGAATCTTTCAATGGAGGCCATGGTGTAGGGGAGGGTCCTCAACAAGCAGGAACTCGGACTCGACGGAACGATTTCGACTTCAAGACATCCGGTCCTGATGTTTCCCACCAAGCATAGTGCCGAAGGGCCGTTCTTACAGGAAGGCTTCGAGCTTGGGCTTTGGCCCCGGGCCGGGCTCTTGGGCAGCCTCGCCGGCAGCCAAGCTGGCCTGGGCACATCTGGACACAACGCCTCGCCTCGTGCTCGCAGAAAGCACTGGTCTTCTCTTCAGCCCCAATTTCTCTCCGGGGACTGGCCTCTGATCGCGGCTCGTCGAGACATTCTGCTTCACGCCCGCGCTCGTGTTGGCAGAAGTGTTCACCCAGACGTTTGCGGAGACATTCGCAGAGACATTTGCCGA